GATTCAAACCCACCAGCCACTCCTTAGAAGGAAGGTTGGGCAATCCTACTTCTGTAGTGATAACTACCTCGGAAACCCAAGGAGGGGTTGCTATGAGTCGGGTCTGACTCAACGGCACCTAACAACAACAGGGGTAGGAGAGAGGGAGATACGGGAGGCTTTTGTTTGCGGGGCATTGAATTTATCCTAATGGCTGTGGAATATTTTGGAAAACAATAGCAATAATGGTGGCACAACATGAAAAATGTCATCAGTGTCCCCATTAAATTAAAAATTAAAAAATCACTATAGAAAAGATTACTAAATTTCAGATGGTGGCTCATTTATTAAAGTAGTATTTATTACAATGCTAGGTTAAACAGAAGGTTCAGACATCCCTTGGCATGGGATTTGGTTGTACTATTAAAAATGGATCTGGGGGAGTAAGTCACATTTCTTGTCCTATTAGGAAAGGTTTATTCATTTATTATTTAATATAACTTCCCTGATGTAGTGTAAATAAGAGTAAACAAACAAAAAACACACCACTGCTGTTGATTTCAATTCACAGTGACCCACTAGGACAAAGTTGAAGTGCCCCTTAGGGTTGCCAAGGCTGTAAATCTGTGCAGAAGCACACTGCCACATCTTTCTCTATGGAGGGGCTGCTGTTGTTGTTAGGTGCCTTTGAGTTAATCTCCAACTCATAGTGACCCTATTCACAGCAGAACAAAACACTGCCTGGTCTTGTGCCAACCTCATGATCCTTGCTATACCTGAGCCCATTGTTGCAGCCACTGTGTCTATCCATCTCGTTGAGGGCTTTCCCCTTCTTCGTTGACCCTCTACCAAGCATGACATCCTTCTCCAGGGAAGGTTCCTTCTGACAACATGACCAAAGTAGATGAAGTCTGGCCATTCTTGTCTCCAAGGAGCATTCTGGCTGCACTTCTTCCAGGACAGATTTGTTAGTTCTTTTAGCAGTTCATCGTACTCTTATTCTCCAACACCACAACTCAAAAGCATCAACTCTTCTTCGGTCTTTCTTATTATCCAGCTCTCACATGGATAAGAGGCAATTGAAAATACCATGGCTTGGGTTAGGCGCACCTTAATCTTTAAGGAGACATCTTTGCTCTTCAGCACTTGAAAGAGGTCTTTTGCAGCAGGTTTGCCCAATGCAATATGTCATCTGATGTCTTGACTGCTGCTTCCATTGGTGTTGATTGTAGAACCAAGTAATACAAAGTCCTTGCCAACTACAATCTTTTCTCCATCTATTGTGAGGCTGTTTATTGAACCAGTTGTGAGGATTTTTGTTTTCTTTATTTTGAGGTGTAATCTATACTGCAGACTGTAGTCTTTACTCTTCAGTAAGTGCTTCATGACATCCTCACTTTCAGCAAGCAAAGTTGTGTCATCTGCATATCACAGGTTGTTAATGAGTCTTCCTCCAATCCGGATGCCACATTTTTCTTCATATAATCCCACTTCTCAGATAATTTGCTCAGCATACAAGTTGAATAAGTATGGTGAAAGGATACAACCTTGATGCACTTCCTTCTTGATTTTGAACCATACAGTATCCCCTTGTTCTGTTCAAATGACAGTCTCCTGGTCTATGTACAGGTTTCTCACGAGTACAATCAAGTGTTCTGGAATTATTATTCTCAGTATTATCCATAATTTGTTATGACTCACACAATCAAATTCTTTTGCGTAGTCAATAAAACATAGGTAAACATCTTTCTAGTGTTTGCTTTCAGCTAAGATGCGTCTGACGTCAGCAATGATATGCCTCATTCCACATCCTCTTCTGAATCCAGCTTGCATTTCTGGAAACCGTCTGTCAATATACTGCTGCAACCATTTTTTAATCATCTTCAGTAAGATTTTACTTGCACATGATACTAATGATGTTGTTCAATAATTTTCACATTCTGTGGGATCACCTTTCTTTGGAATGGGTATAAATATGGATGTCTTCCAGTCAGTTGGCCAGGTAGCTGTCTTCCAAATCTCTTGTCATAACCGAGTGAGCCTCCATTGGGGGCATCTGTTTGTTGAAGCATCACAATGGGTATTCCATCAGTTCCTGGAGCCTTGTTCTTACCAATTCCTTCAGTGCAGCTTTGACTTCTGCCTTCATTACTACTGGTTCTTGATCATATACCACCTGCTGAAATAGATGAAAATCGACCAGTTTTTTTTTTGTAGAGTGACTGTGTATTCTTACATCTTCTTTTGATGCTTCCTGTATCATTCAAAATTTTGTCCATAGAATCTTTTAATATTGCAACTGAAGGCTTAAATTTTTTCCTCAGTTCTGTTCTTCCCTTTTGGTTTTGTAACTCCAGATCTTTGCACATTTCATTACAGTAATTGGCTTTGTCTGCTCGAGCTGCTCTTTTAAATCTTCTGTTCA